CAGGGTCCTGAGATGGGTATCAGAAGCCTAGCTAGGGAAGAGGAATCAGAGTTCCTTGGGGTTGGGAAGGATGGGTTGGTGTCACTGGAGGCCTCAACAGAGAGAGGTCATTAATATGAGGAGTGGGCGTTGCAGAGACGAGAGTGTAAAATTCTTCAGGAAGTAAGTGCGAAGACACTCACTGCCAGGGTCCACCAAATCCTCATCTCAGTAGAGTTCTTGGGTGTTCTAACACTTCTGACCCAGCAGATAACCTTAAAAAAAAAACAAATGACAATGAGGTTTGCTTCCTCATTATCACATTCACCTTTCCTAGGATGAAAGCACCCCCTACTCTCCCAACCTGAATGCGAAGGAGTTCTCTAGCAACACAAAACTAAGTGAGAAACTTGGCAGGTGCAAGTAGTGGGCTGGGAGTTGGCAAAATTGAACTTGTAAGCTTTCGGCCTCCCTGCCCCAACATCCGGCTTAGACAAATCCCCTTAGTGGATGAATGTTTTGATAGCAAGGATGAGAAACAGCTGGCAGGCAAAACAAAACACATAATTTTCAACCTTAGTTGATCAGGAATAACAGGAGCACAACATGAGTGAATGCATCAGAAGACAAACTACGTTGGTTCAATGAGATAAGTTCACTTCTTTTTCTAAATTGTACACAGTGGGGTCACCGTTGCTGATTATTTCAGTGTTCTTCTCTTTTGGGAAAATAAAGCACATCTAGGTAGAAAACAGCGTAATTAGTAAGGGAAAACAGTGCAGGGTCTCTTTCGACCTTGTTGACTTCATGACTCAATGCAGGCAATAGCTGAGGCCTGACAGTGTGAACATGAAAACAGACATTAAACCAATTGATTTGAAAAACGTAATACTAAGAACCTGAAAAACAACACGACAATTTTGAGTTTCATTTTAAATGTGCTATTTACAACCAACTAAACAAATGTAACATGGATAAAAGTGTTACTTTAAAAAAAATAAGTTCTCTGGATGAGTGCATCACTGGCAGTTCAAACATTTATTGCTCATCCCTAGTTGCCTAGAGACAGCAGTGATGGGTCATCTTCTTCCACTAGATTTTGTGAGGCAGCTGAGTGACTTGGCCACTTCCATGGGCAGTTCATGTTAAAGTGGAATTGAAAGGGCATATAGGTCCAATTGAGTGAGGGTGGCAAGAATATTGAATCAGCTGGGTTTTGACAACAATCTGGAAAAGCTCAGCAGGTCTGACAGCATCTGTGACAAAAAGTTAAAATTAACGTTTCGGGTCTGGTGACCCGTCCTCAGAAAATTTTGATCATGTCTTGGAATTTGCAGTTCTAAGGAAGGGTCACCAGACCCGAAACGTTAACGCTAACTTTTCTTCACAGATGCTGCCAGACCTGCTGAGCTTTTCCAGCAACTTCTGCTTTTGTTCCTGATTCACAGCGTCCGCAGTTCTTTCAGTTTTTATTTAATGACAATCTGACAGCTTCATGTTCACTTTAACAAACACTGCCCTTTCTTAATTTAATTACTCAACCTGCAACCAAGGGATTCAATTATTCCTCTAGGCCTCTGCTTTACAATGCCCAGTAGCCTAACTATTACACTGTCACACGCAGGACAAACAGTTACTGAGCCAGTTAGCTAGAATAAGACTTTTTAAAATTTACTCCCCCCGCAAAAGGGTGTAAATTTAAGAACTGCATGAAATTATTTGTCCTTCCCTCAGAAGTTCTAAATGTCAGGTTTGTTTTGATGGGCAGCATTTTACAGTTCCCCACTGGTGGGTTTCCAAGCAGGAAAGCCTGAATAGTCTACAGTGTGGCTCCAACCTAGCCATGTTTTTATGAGGGGCAGCCACTTAAAGGCTACTTCATACGGGAGCCGTCCAGTGACCGTGGGATGCCCACGAGGTCACTATGCTCGTGTCTTGGAATTTGGGAGGGGCTTCACCCCACTTTAGTGACCCCTTTCCATATCGGGTTCCCTGCCCTACAAAGGTCCACATCTTTCCCCACCCTCCTGCCCTGCCAACCTCTCCATCAAGTCTCCATCAGGTTGACCGGCAGCTCTCCAAATCAGGACCCCACTCAAGTGAGAGATGGACATCCTACCTCTAGCCAACTAATGCTCCTGGAGTGTTAAATAGTAGTGGGCCCGAACTGACAGCAGGGGGCCTGCCCCCAGCCAACTCTTTGGGTAGCGGTGCAGGAAACCTATCCATGAGCCTTCCCGCCTCAGATGTCATCAGTAAGAGGTGAGACAGTGGAAAGGGCACAACTTCTCCTGCCCCAAAACTTGCCATTTAATTCTGCACAATGTTTGACTGGGAGGGGAACCAAAGGTGGTGGTGTTCCTGTGCCCAGGTCCTTCTCAGTGGTGCAGGTCATGGAATTCCTTGAGATCTACACATTTCCATTCTTTTTCCGCCCAATTTACCTCATAAAATGAAAACTGAAGCATTTGGGAACCAATCAAAATGTTAAACAACTTGCTAAAAAATCAAGTTGTCCTCCTTGGGTGGGGGTGGTCGCAAATGGCATCTTCTCCTGCATTGTATAGTAGATGAATATTCTTCATTAATTTTCTGGTACACTTCTATATTTAGAGATGTTTCCTATGAAATTCATGCCTAGATATGGCAGCAACGGTCAAAGCCGGAAACCATGAGTCAGTCTATCAAAAAGAGAGATTACATCGTGGAAGCATAAGTAAGCACCACAGCTCAACATAAAAAGAATGTAAATTTGATAAATTGTGCAATTTAGTGTTACCATACTGAACTCGTGAACACAGAGCTTTGAAAATGATTGACAATAGCACTTTACATCTGTAACCCAAATCCAGTTTTGTGAATCAATTGAAAAAAATTCCGTATAGTTAATATGCTCAAGACATAAATGCTTTTTTGCTGCATGTCTTAAGGAGTTTTTCAAATATAGCGAAACAAGTGTACCATTATGTGCTTAAAATAACTAGCAATTCACAAGTAAAATTCATAAATTTCTAAGGTTCTGAAGAACAGCATAATGGATTTGAAATGTTAACTCAGCAGCAACTGTAAAGAGAGAAACAGAGTTTCTCCAGCATTCCCTGTGTGTTTCAGATTTCCAGCAGCAGTGGTATTTTGCTTTTATGTAAATTTCTGAGTAGGTAGATTTTGTGGAAAGTGCAAGTTATATTTATTACATTTAAATTTACATTAAATTGTTTGAGTCATCATTTTGGAAATACCATGTGGAAAAGCTGTGGACTAGTCGTGAAGCCGCTGACAGAAGTGCGAGTGGATTACAGATACGAGTCTTCAGCCAATTCAAGTCACTCCACCTGATATCAAGAAACAGTTGGAGACATTGTATTCCAGAAAGGCTACAGGCCCTGACAACATTCTGGCAATTATACTGAAGACTTGTGCTCCAGAACTTGTCACTCCCATAGACAAGCTGTTCCAGTCCAGTTACAATGCTTGCATCTACCTGATAATGTGGAAATTTGGTCAGGTATGCCCTGCACATAAAAAGCAGGAGAAATCCAACCCAGCCAATTACCACCCCATCAGTTTACTCTCGATCATCAGTAAAGTGATAGAAGATGTCATCAACAGTGCTATCAAGCAGCACCTGCTCAGCAATAACCTGCTCAGCTCCTGGTCTCATTACAGCCTTGGTTCAAACAAGGAAAAATAACTGAACTCCAGAGCTGAGGTAAGTGACAGCCTTTGACATCAAGGCTACATTCAACCAAGTGTGGCAAACTCCCCTCTATTAAAAGGTCAGACGTGGAGATGTATGCTGATGATTACACAATGTTCAGCACCATTCACGACTTCTCGGATACTGAAGCAGTCCATGTCCAAATGCAACAGGATCTGGACAATATCCAGGCTTGAGTTGACAAGTGGCAAATAACATTCATGCCACACAAATGCCAGGCTATAACCATCACCAATTAGAGATAATCTAACCACTGTCCCTGAATCACCTACTATCAACATCTTGGGGTTACCATTAACCAGAAGCTCTACTGGACTTAGCACTTAAACACACCAGTGGCCACAACAGCAGGTCAGAGGCTAGGAATACCACAGCAAGTAACTCACCCCCTGACTCCCCAAAGCCTCTCCATCATCTATAAGACACCAGCTAGGAATGTGATGGAATACTCCTCACTTGTCTGGATGAGTGCAGCTCTAACAGAATTCAAGATGCATGACACCATCCAGGACAAAGGAACCAAATTGATCGGCTTCATTTATTCGCTTCATCACTGACACTCAGTAGCAGCAGTGTGTACTATCTACAAGAAATTATACACTGCAGAAATTCATGAAAGATCCTCAGATCGCACCTTGCAAACCCAAGACCACTTCCATCTAGAAGATCAAGGGCAGCCGACACATGGGAACACTGCCACTTGCACCAATCTGCTTTTTCAATGCACTGCGCACCACTTGCAAGGTCTCCTGCAAGCCACTCACCATCCTGACTTAGAAATATATCACTGTTCCTTCATTGTTACTGGGTCAAAATCCTAGAATTCCCTCCGTAAGGGCATTGTGGGTCAACCCACAGCACATGCACTGCAGCGGTTCAAGAAGGCAGCTCATCACCACCTTCTCAAGGGCAAGTAGGGACAGGCAATAAATGCTGGCCAGCCAGCAATGCCAACATCCCACAAATAAATTAAAAAGAAAATTACATGTGGAGGATACTTTTACTTCCAGGGTATATAACTGCCTACAATAGATGTTAATCACCTCTTCTAGCCTCATATTTGTTGTTTCTCATATGACATGATTAAGGTTCACTTTTGACAATGGGAACATATGGCAATGAAGGATCAATAAATCATTGGAATTTTGCAATTAATGAAATAAATAAAACACCTGAAATTTCAGTATACCAGAAATAAAACTATTGGAATAACAATTATTAAAAAGTGCTTACTTTTATCTTTTTTAATATTGAAGGTTATTGATATTATTTGAAACCATATTTCATGCTATGTACTGCTTACCTGTATAGGCAACACCACAAGGGCAACGCAGATCATGATGACCACTAACAACTTGGATGGCCAGATCTGGGGTGTCACATCCCCAAACCCCACAGTAGAGAAGGTGACAATGCAGAAATAAAGTGAATCAAACAGGGTCAAGTTATTCCCTGCTCTTTCCAAATGTTGTATTCCACAGATGCTGAAAAAAAATTACAAGGGTTAAAAATACTGCTGACCAATCTATAACCATACAATATGACACACACCTTCAAAGGAGGATATTTTCATTCTGTATTCCTTGGTTGTTCAATAATCTCTCCACTGTTTAACAGTGCATCATGGTTTAAGCTAATTTTTGCTACTTCTTTTGAGGAGTACATGGTTCTGTTTCTTAAAAGATTTTGGATTGATGTGTAATTTTTTTTTTGAAGTTATATGCAATCTCCACCAGATTCAATTGAAACAACCATACGACATTTGTATGTGACAATATGGCATCACTAAGAAGCATATTCTGGCCAAAATCTTCATTAATCAGGCTTTCATAATGTTGACAAGTAAATGGTCAGCTAAAGAGAAATAAAAGCAAATCTTTCTTACTTTTGTCTATGATGTTTTTAACAAATCTTTGACAATATTGAAATCAGGATTTCATTACTTTTGCTGCCACCAAACAACACATTCAAACATTTGGAGAGTCAATCTGACATCTAGTCAGTGAGATTCAGTGAGAGATCTTGACTACTTTTTTCCTGACTAAACATCATCTAGACAGTCTATGATAGTGAAAAATTGAAGCTTAAGAAAAGTTACAAACTAGTTGAGTTCTACTTCTGAAAAAAAGTTTTTTTGGTTTATTGTGGCAATTTGGTGTTAATTGATACTTCCTCTTTTATTGTTCTGATGTGTAATACAAAGCTGCAGCAACAAATTTCTGATGGTAACTTTTTACTCACCCAATATACTAATTGCATCAATTGGGAGACTCAAGGTATGCGGGGCTATTTGAAGAACTACTTAAAGCATTACACCATCTTACGGCCTGACACATCCATCAGTCCTTTACCACCATCTAAACAGGAAATTAACCCTCTTTCAGATAAAGAGTGTTCCACAAGAGGCATAATTTAAAATGAGACACTAATTGTGAACTGATAGCCCAAGGATGCCCATATTCTAGATCCCAAAATGGGAAGACTACAGAAAGACCATTCCATTTCTTATGCATAGCTGTGTTTTCTTCCTCGTCTCTTCAAATATCTTCCAGTTTTGAGGAAGGATCCACATTTGAAGCTTCTCATCTACTTAACTACAGATGTCTACACCGACACACTCGAGTGTTTTAACATTTCCTATATTCATTTCAGACAAGAGATCAGGCTAAAATGTTCCATAATGTAAGAAACAATTAGAGCAAAGTCTCTCCCTCAACATTCAGTTTAAAATAGGAGTCGAGAATCAGATAATTAACATGAGAAGGAGAGTCTATGAATGTCCCCATAGTCAACTACAATAGAACCAAGCACAATTACAATGATTAGATTTACACTGAAGAGCTTACAAGTCCTCTCAGCCAAAAGTGCAACCAAACTCTTATTCTCCTCCTGTTACCCTATTATCTTGATGCCAGTTCAGTTCACTATGAGAAACATTATGGCCAGGCGAGTGCATTGCACACAGTACAGTCCTGACATCAATGAGATATCTAACAGTATTTTCATTACTGGAAAGATTCAGAAACCTAGGCCTTTGTCAGAAACCTCATCTTGAATTTCCCCTAGGCTCCCTAAATAATTATTCAGAGCTGAAGGTCAATGCAGATTTAGATTTTCCAGTTGCTGGTGTTTTCATGTGAATTTATTTTGAAACAGTTTATGGCTGGTTATAAAATTATGGCAGGTTTAAAGTTGAAGTCCCCCAGGGGGCGTCCTCAGCATATATTTGTGGTACTCCTGCAGAAAGTTTTTGAGAGATGAACAACATATCCCCTTTGTTATTTGAAAGCTTCGTCCATCCTGCTTTCCCTTGCATTGAAACTTTTATTACAGTTATTTCACTCGTATGGAACTTTTTGGTTCTACATTCAAGAGAGAGAACCTAACATTAAGATCAATCAGTTGACTTTATTACCCAAGATATCACAGACTAAAAATGGTTTCACAAAGGGCACTATTGCTTTAAAATGGCCAGTGTGATCACCTCATAAACATAGAGAACCTACATGGAATCTATGAAACCAACTGCATTGAAAAGACCATTTTCAATGCAGTTGAAAATCAGAGGCACTGAAAATCAGTACAGAATCTCTTCTTTACTCACAGTTGTATGATGAACTCTCAGATTGAAACATTAAAGTTTGGCTACTTCTATCCAGCTTAGAATAAAACAATGACAGCAGATTCCACAAAATAACTGTACATCAACAGCAGGAGCAACAAAGGAGAGGGAACGCTAGATGGACTAAAAACATCAAAGATATCAAAATCTCTTCTCCCTTCTTCCCGTTAACCTTGGAAACCAATGCCAGTCAAAAAACAAGTTGGAAAAACCACTTTTCACTGAGAAATCAAGGTCCTATGCAAGCTTCAGCACTTCCGAGGAAACAGGACAACAACTAAACAGTTGGGACTTAGCTTTAACTCTTAGAACTGTGGCAGACTGCGAGGAGGATAAATAGAGAGCAGTGAACTAGCCCTCATACAGTGTTGCATCACTGAATTTTAAGTTCTTCTGCTGTAACTTTGAAAGTGGAAGCAATATGTAATAAATACCTGATCTCCCAAGCTACAATCTTAAGCATAGCTGAGGGAACTGCAATCAAACCTGGAAGAACAGGAGCAATATTTCATACTTTATATATTTTATATTAAAAACAGCCTTAAAATCACCACCTTTCCAGATTGGGTGCCCTCCCCAAGGTCTATTCCCTTGCCCCCAGGTACTCTCTCCTTAAGTGACTTTGACATCACAATCTCCAGACTCCACTTCCTGAAATCACTGCTGCCACCTGACCCTGCAGGTTCCAGCATTTAAACCGGTCAGAATGCAAGAAAAAAGCTTTGCTAAACCTTCTTCTTTTTGGCTAAACTGAAAAGATGTTACACTGGTGCCCAATACCTGCGAGACTGTGAGTAGAATTTCTAGCACAAGAGGAAAAGAGAGAGATGAGGGGGAAGGTGAGTCAGAGAAAATATCCCAAATAGACAGGAAGGGCAGAGGAAATACTTTTAATTTTTTTAAATTGTTGTAAAAGTACACCCGTTGAATTCTAAAAAAAAAACCTGTTTGAGAGCAGGAGATCAGAAGTTATGCCATAGGAATGACAGTGCCTACTGGAGAGCTTAATTGATTGTTCACTTCTTTAATTTTAACCATTGTACCATCTTCTGAATAAACAACCTGGATAGTGCAAACTCTTGATATCCTCATAGCTAGCAATAATAAAACACAAGCAATTGAAATCAATCATGTAATACGACTTGAAAATAAATACAACATTTTTGTGTGCATTTGAGTGGATGCACTGTGCGTCCAATATAAAATGGTCAACAAATTGACCATGTTTAGTATCTATTCATGCACACATCAAGATGATTTATCAAAAATACTGCAGAGTTTTATTATGTCAAGCATAGGGAAGCAACATTACGCAATGCAACAGGGGCTATCCTTGGTGTTGCGACTCAGCAAAGAGTCATTTTGTGCTATTGACTTTCTGGGAGCTGCTGATTGGCATTTTGAATGGAAGCAACATTGAACTGTAGGACCAGATCTATAAAAGGTCGATGGTTGCCTATAGGTTATAGGCATAATCAGGGTAGAAGAATCTGACTACTTTTTATTACCTTGCTTAGGAACTGAGCTCAAAAAACAGGAGATGAAGGACAGTGTATCTCTTCTTAGATGGAGAACAGCGTATCCCTTTTGTTTTGCTTTTGTCTATTTTTTTTTACTGATACTTTCTTGTTCATATTTATTGGACAATTATGAAAAGAAGAGGTCAGAGGTATTATAAGAATACCTGCCCCATATTTCATGACAGTAATGCTTTCCCATGTTGGGTTTGACATAACTGTTAATAATTGTTCATTACTATTTCATTCACAAAAAATTGAAGTTAGAAAAGTTGTAAAATAGATCTCAGCTCTTTTAATATTTTTAAAGTATACTAAAGATGATATTCAAAATTATAATTATTTTGTAGCTTGTTTTTTTTTTCAAAAGTCAGTGAGACAATGATTCTTTTGTACCAGCAAATAAAGAACTATTTACTCACCCAGTTGCATAATATTAACATTGGACTTAATGTGACAGTTTTATCTGGATTGTTCAGACAAGATAATATTGGCTTAACCTTCAAGTGGCATAAAGGCTTGCTTTACGGGAAACATATGGATTAGTTTTCGTAAATCATGAAAAAAAAATGATACGTTTTGCCAATTTTTCAACCTATATTTTTGAAGAATGTGTAAGTGGGCAAAGATCTCTATTGTGATTAACTGAAGTCAAAACTTAAAAAAAAACTCCCATGTTCCAACATATGCCAGGGCATCATCTCTATTCAGATTATATTAAAATAATCTGTAATAGAATATGAGAAGTGCACAACTTTTTTGTTTCACAAGGTTTCTTAAACACCCCACAAAAAAAACATACTACCAACTAACTAAATTCAAAAACAATATTTATTTTCTTTAATAGCACTGCATTGCATGACTGATTGGAATTTTGCAGTTGTACTTGATAATGCAAAGCTCTACAACTTAATCTGGTCAGATTCTATTTAAGGCCCAAATTTAACTGAAGAACTATGGTAGTTAAGTTCTATAGGCAGAAGTCACATGACAGCAGGTTTATTTGAAATCACAAGCTTTTGGAGCACTGCTCCTTCATCAGATGAAGTGAAGAAAAGCACACAGGCACAGAATTTATAGGCAGAGACATCAAAAGATTCCGCAAAGTGGAGTGTCAACAGTCTGACTAACAAGTCTCTGCAGCCGATCAAAAGTGCCAGACGATGTGAGGAAAGTACCACCAGCTGAATAACAAGTGAAGGGATGACCTATGATCCGATTAATTGAGACAGAGAGCTCTATAGCAGTCATGCTACACCAACCGAAAGTAATACTCCATTGTGATCATTGAGAGAACGCAGTTTAGCTTTTACTTTGCTCAGTTATCTCTGGAAGTCTACCCCAG